CTCTCTCTCTCTCTCTCTCTCATTATTTTTATTTATGCAGGTCAAGATGGTGGTAAAAGAATGGGTATTAATTTTGACAGAGTGAAGTAAGTGTTCAAATTGCTATTATTTTCAGTTTGCTGGATCTCTGAAGGTCACTTTTCACTGAGGAAAATTGTTTGTGTGTGTGTGTGTGTGGTTCCATTGTTTGGTTGTTCGTCTTGAATAAGCTTATTGAGATGGGTTGTCGGATTATCTGTTACTTAGTGCTCGTATCATGTGGAAGAATTTCATTCGAATAACAGTTTGGAGACTTTATAAACCACTGCTTGATGAAGTTCAAGGGAACTCTTTTTGTCTGCTTAGCCTATTAGCATCTACATGAATTTTGGCCAACTTGTTAACTTAAGTCATGTAAATAAGTGGCATTCTGATTGTGATCAATTGGGTTAAGAATTGCTACGGAACCAAATGCTAGTTTCAAGAAACCAGCTGCCTATGTGGCATGATACATGACAAGTGAAGTGGGCTCCCGATTTTTTCTTGTATATTCTTAAAAGGGAATTTTAAAAAAAAAAGCCTTAATGTATTGTTCAAAAATTTTTTACTCTTTTCATCACCGACCCACATCTATCTGCTTCTCCACTTATCCTCCTTTTGATGGCGAAATGATTTGGTTCCTGTCTCTTCGATTGCTGATTTGCAGATCAGTTATGGATTTAACAAATACATATTCCCAGCACATTTCACAGAAACACCAAGATGATAAAATTTGTGAAGTATGAGAATTCATCAAAGCAAAAGCTTGATTAGAAATGCATAACCGGTTTAAATTGGTTACCCAACAGAGTAGCCAGAACATTGCATTGTGCGTAGTAGTGACAGAGCTCAGTTCACTTAATTCCTAGCATATGATCTACCTGTCAACATGATTAACTCAGAAGCAATAGAACCCTTAACCTGCGTGAATTGGTCATTTTTTTTATTTTTTTCCTTTTTAGATAGGACAGAGAGAAAGAAACTAACAACTCCATTCTATCTAGGACATTTTGACTTCTCCTCTGTCGTATCATGTAGCCGCCACATAGGCTGCTGGTTCTGTGAATGAAACCCACAACTGCCAACTAGTTCTTTAGAAAATCTATGACGAACAATTATATTTATATGCTCCTCTTGTATAATCATCAAATCCGTAGTAGAGAATATATGAAGAATATGTTCCTCTCGTGCTATAACATGTCTAATGTACAACATGGACTTTACCATTTGGTTGTTTTAGCATAAATACTTCATTTATTTTATTTTATTTTGTTTATATATACGTCCAATCACATTGCAGGTATTGGCTTTCGGTTGGTGCGCAGCCCTCGGAGCCTGTCCAGCGCCTTTTGTTCCGAGCTGGCTTGTTGCCCCCACCTCCGATGCTCGCCATGGGACGAAAGGGGGGCCCACGCGACATGCGCCCTGTTGACCCGATGACTGGACGTGTTATGATTGATGGAAAGCGAAACAATGCTACATCCAAAGAGGACCCTGAAGTCGATGAAGTCGACGTGGATGATGAAGGCGAGAAAGGTTCTAGCTAATAATTGGCAATGACCCCATATTTCAGTTCTAAGGTAATATCATATTCATACCAACCATTGTGATATGTCAGCTAGCCTGTGATGTACGTTTTCCTAGTCTTTTTTTTTTTTATTTCCAACAGCTTGCATTAATGAACTTTGGGAGAAAAAAAAATGGGGTATTTGAAGTATCTCTTTGTTTTGAGAACAGGAAAATATGTAACAAACTCGTGTTTAGTTGCTAAGCAGCATTAATAAATTGCACGTCCTTGCCCGATTCTCTTTGTTAGGTTTTACTTTGTGGGTTTGGTGCATCTTAGATAGTAAACTAAATAGGGTACTCGGTTAGTGCTCCATTGTTCGGCGTGTTAATGAATGAGAATATGAAATGTCATTGACAACCCAACGCGGCTTATCTGTCTTGATATGTACTAGGCCTCATAAATCCAATCAAAACATTGAGCTGCATGATTTTGTTTCAGTAGTTTGATTCTGCAGGATAATCCTTCATTTGTGACTTCATGAAACATAATTTGGACTATTTACTAGCTCAACTGTAAAGGTGGTGATTACATGCCACTGCGATTCATGCATCAATGAAATTAATTTTTACATGAATAAATTTGAAAGTCTTTTTATTTTAATAAATTCTTGTGTGGGATGGCATAACCATTAGACAGGTCGACTCGTCATATTTAAAGAATTCATAGTTTTGCTATGAAGTGTCGTATTTTTGTTTTTGTCGTTTTCTAAAGTATGACATTTCAGTTTGAAAGTATATGTATTCGTTCAAAAAGTATAATTATCGAACCGTTAGCTCTATCTAACAACAACCTTGTCATTTTTTTTATTTTTTTATTTTTTTTTTATTGCAAATTTCTCCATTTAACTAGAAAATGTGACCTTGTTTTATTTGCAATCATGAAAATACCAATTATTTGATAATTTAGGAATACAACTATGATTTAATGTCCCTGTAAATTTTGTCAGACTTAATTAAATTGGTACTTTAAAATTATTCAATCAATCATTTTGTCTACTACCAACTCAAACAACCTTCCCATTTCTCTTTTTATAAAACAACTCGAAACATTAAAAAA